AGAGAGAGAGAGAGAGAGAAGCATGAGAGAGAAAACGCGTAGCATGTGTACTAGAGTGCGAGAGAGAGAGAGAGAGAGAGAAGCATGAGAGAGAGAGAGAGCATGAGAGAGAGAAGGATGAGAGAGACAGAAGCATGAGAGAGCGAGAGACAGAAGCATGAGAGAGAGAGAGACAGAAGCATGAGAGAGAGAGAGAGCTCCGCCACGTCTGCCAATGGTCCAGTGGGAAGGCAAAAAAACAAACCGAGTTGTTTGATCGGAGGCTGGAGTTACCTTTTGTGAACATTTACTAGATGCTAGTATCCAGATTCCGACCGACCGATGTTTCGCAGAAAACCACTCTCACTTGACGGTCACCATCATCATACTGTCGTGGCACCTAGAGGTGCAAAAGCATCAGGGGTTACAAAAGGACGTCCCAAAGAGTCCGCGTCACACACATCCCAGCAGCGACTTGTACGGCACTTGTATGGCACGAAGAGGACAAAAGCGACGACACGATTGGAGGCAACTGGGATAGATGTATATAAGCACAAGTTCCTGCGCCGCGAAGGAAACAAGGCCAAGCGAGTTCTCGGGCGACGTGGGAGAGTCTCCGAACCCGGGGGCACGCACGGCGGGAAAGGGAAAACGCTAGGAACAAGAGGAGGCGAGAAGGGGAAAATACCATCAGAAACTGCTTTCAGATTGTAGAGAGAGGCGAAACCGCAGAAGAAGAAAGAGCGAAGAAGATGAATTGATGATGGCGGCGTGGTGAATAGACCGTTTGTGAGGCGAGAATTTAAAGCGGGTAAGGCGAGAGAATTGAAAAACAAAGAAAGCAAGGGGTGCGAAAGATGCAGAGAAGTTATGAAGGAGAGAGAGAGAGAGAGAGAGAGAAGCGGTCATGGGGAACGGGGCAGAGAGAGACATACAGAGCTGAGCTACCCTCGATAAGAGGGAAAGGCACAAGAGCGAAGAAGAAGACAGGATGGCGCGTCACAAGAGCAAAGAAGAAGAGAGGATGCACGAGCGAAGAAGAAGAGACGATGGCGCGTCACAAGAGCGAAGAAGAAGAGAGGATGGCACGTCACACGAGCCAAGAAGAAGACATGATGGCGCGGGAGATATAGAAGAGGGGGGGGTAGAGAGAGAGAGAGAGAGAGAGAGAGAGAGAGCTTCCGAAATAGAAATTTAAATCTCCTACACTTCATCAGTAACACAAATGATAGCGGTAGGTAGGATAGACAATAACGTAGAGAGAGAAGGTGCATAGGTAGGAGACGATGACGCAGGTGGCGAAAGGAGAGAAAATGATGATGACGAAAAACGGCCGGCTTCCGTGATGCACTCGACGACAGCAGCAGACTCTTCTGTTGGAGCGAGGACGATCCGAACCGCACGGCTATAAAATGAAGGGAGGAGAGCGCGCATATGATCAAAGATAATCACCAGAGGGAAATGGATAGTAGGTCAAGTACACTTTGGGGGAGGGGGGGTTGGACTTGTCATTTCAACTCGTTGATGGCGATGACTGGAGACAGACATAATGACAGTCCAGATATGTGGAGGGAAACGACAGGCAAGAGAGAAAGAAAGACGAAGACCAATCAAGCAACGATAGGGAAGGATACTTCAGGCCATATACTAGTATTTGGGGGGAGGTAAAGGTGAGCATGCATGACAAAAGGGGCCGATAGTAGCAAGAAGTATACGGTCATGCATGTAGGAGGAATGTATGAAAACATCCCGACGTGCGTACACGTACGTCGTCTGGTAGGAATCGTCATCAGGCAGCTTCTGCATCGCTACACAAAAGATACTCCGACTCTTCATAATATCACCTCAGTCACTCTCTCCTCCTCTCTCCTCCCTCCAAGTCATCGTGTGCATGGAACAACTAACTACTCGTATTGCCACAAGTCGATTACCACTGTTCACTCACTACCTATGTTCTGCTTCCTCCTTAGAAAGGCGCACACATACGTCCGTTCTTTTTTTCCTTTGCGCAGGGAGGTAAGGAGCCACTCCTACAGCACTGCACGTCCTTGAGTATTGTACAAGTATAATACTCAAGGCCCTAGACTGAATAGCAGGAGCAACTTTTAACTTAGTATTATGAGCCCATACAATTTTGAGTCAATAACCCTCTTGCCAATAACCACGCCCACCGAATAGAAACATCCATAAGACGAAAAGCCCATGCAAAGCGTGCTCCCAAAAAGTTTCATCCATATGCAGATAGTGGGGATCCGTAACCACGCCCACTGAATAGAAACATGAGACCAAAAGCCCATACAAAGTGTGTTCGCAAAAAGATTCATCCATATGCAGATCATGGCGATCCGTAAGCCATGCTTATCGTCTTTGTATCGTTCCGATTTAAACGGATGCGACATGCCCGTGAAGGAGTATATTCGCTTTCTTACGGTCGTTGAACACAACTTCGCCGCCGCAACAAAGCCGCCACGACCATGACGGAAGTTGCGGTTTTGTAAACGGCACAACCGTTCGTCTCCAATCATCATCAGTCCTCCCTCCCTTGCGACACAACCGTTCGTCTCCAATTATCATCAGTCCTCCCTTGCGACATAACCGTTCGTCTCCAATCATCATCAGTCCTCCCTCCCTTGCGACACAACCGTTCGTCTCCAATCATCATCAGCATCATCAGTCCTCCCTTTGCCAACGTCTATCTTTCGCGTCCTACATTCGGATTTCCACATCACTCCCAAAAGCAGTGGAAGATGCGTACTTTCGCGTCCACATTCGCGGGGATGGACATCTTCCATCAGCCTACTGCCTTCTTTGCCCCCGTCTACAGCAATAAGAAGGTAGCCGTTTGTTCACTGATAGAGAGGCTTCCATCGGCCTACCTTCTTTTTCACCCGTCTACAGCAATCGACTGTTCCCGTGATCCAATCGACTGAGCTATACCCTCAATAAGACTTGCAATCGAACGCTACATAACCCAGAAAGCCAAGCCCAAGTCCAACGGTTAATGACAGTTAGAACCCCACGAATAGGAAATCCGTAAACATCAGTCGAAACACCTTTGCCTGCAGACTATGTACTATGTAGTACCCTATCTAAGGCGGTGGCGTAACAGCACCACATCAGTCACAGTCAAGAGGTGACGTTGTTTGTTTGATTCGCATCCAAACACTGTGTTGATCATTTCGAAAACTCTTTCTATGTTTTTATCATCATCCCAACATTCATGTAAATAATGAATCATCGAAACGCTATTGTCTTGTCTGCTACTTGTTCAACCAACGACAAGCAACGCCCTTGGCCACAAACAAAGGCAGCTCAACTCCCTCTCAGTTCTGTCTGCAGTTAGTTGCTCCTGCTCCAATTCCCGCCCGCCGGCCGCCCGCGGCAATTGGTTCGTAAAGGCTGTTGCAACCAACACCTGCCCTGCAAGTTATAGTAGTCCCTAAGCGCCTGGCTGCAGTGCTCGCCGTCCGCATCTGGACAGACACATGTCCAAATGCATACGACATCTTGGCCGATGGCGAGTGGTGGAACTACGTCCAAAACCGCAGCTAACCCGCCCGCTACCTCAACTATCTGGACTGCATTTTTCCTGAAACATCCCCCCCCCCCCCGGCCCCCCCCCGTGTATGACTCAACGTCATTCTCTCCTCGTATGCCTACAAAGGGGGCATACTCTCACTTGCACTTCTCTGAACATATATCTGATAATAGTAATTCAAAAGTCAGAGCACGAGCATCGCGGTGCATATATCTGATAATAGTAATTCAAAAGTCAGAGCACGAGCATCGCGCAGCACCGCAATCACGTCCAGACGTTGGCCATTTCTAGTGTGAAGATGACGGTACCCTAAACTTCCAGTCAACAACCGCAAATGCGGACGTAACTCGCAGCTCTCTTGTGGATGTTTTTTTTTTAACGCATTCAAACGAAAACAGCCGCAGATGTAATAAAAGCTAGCACAGCAACTGGCTCTCCCTCATGCCATTTCAATCGAAGCAAAGAGAGCTGCAAACTCCCAACGAAGCACAACTGGCTCTGCCTCCCTCATGCCATTTCAATCGAAGCAAAGAGAGCTGCAGACTCCCAACAAAGCACAACTGGCTCTGCCTCATGCCATTTCAATCGAAACAAAGAGAGCTGCAAACTCCCAACGACGCAACGAGCTGTCGAAAAGTTCAACGACAAAACATCACAATGCGCATACGAAAGAGAAGACGATATCTAGTGAACAATACAAGCACACAGGCACCACCAGACCCGTTCCTAACCAATAACCAATTCTCGTCAAATTTTGACGAATTTGTCAGGGGCAGGACCAGGAGCAGGAACGTAGTGGTGGTCCCACCGTTTCTTTCCCCGAACACCCAGCAGTGTCACGCAGAGTGGTGGTCCCAACGTAGTGGTGGTCCCAGCGTATTCCCACCGTCTTTTTCCCCAAAAAGCACAACACAGCTTGCGCACGAATCTCCCCAAGCTATCCTCCTCAGTCGTGCGTGACACTGCTGGGTGTTTGGGGGAAGATGGCAGGGCGGCGCACAAGTAGATGATTATTATATATATATAATAACATCTACAAGCAAAAGACGCTGCCAGCACTTGTCACCGCAACGCCAAGTGGAACGTTTATTTCCCAACGCCACGTGGAACACGTTTTCCAAGGTCACGGAGCACGTGTTTCCCAACGGCCACGCGGCGCGCGCTTTCCAGGGGGTTTCAAAACACCCCATTTCAAAACACCGCGAACACTCGTCCAGCGAGATACTAGTCTTTCAAAGTAACCAATCAAACAATCAGTCACAGTGAAGAGATATTTTCATGGTAAACTTCCCACCAGACAACAAATGCATCAATCAATCAATCAAGCAATCAATCAATCAGTAGGCCACCTTTGTCCCACAAAACACACAGTAGGTCACCTTCGTAACACAACATCGCCACCAACCAACCAATCCATTACAACTGAGGCTTTCCCACGGAAGATAGAAAGATTGAATGCGACGCAAAACCCTGGTGTATATACGGCAGCGTAGCAACGAGCTCGAAGAAAAAGACAAGCAATCAAGCACGCCAATCCATCTCCTTCTCTTTGCTGCTCTCTCTCTCTCTCTCTCTCTCTCTCTCTCTCTCCCCACTGCAAATGGATTGAAGAAGAGTTGCTGCAGTCAGGCCCTAAAATTACGAAGGAACAAATCAGCACACATCCACGGTCCAAAAGCGGAGCAATTTGTGCCAATAAGAAATGACATACTGGTAACACGGGTGCGGGCGAAGATTTGCTCACAAAAATACATTTTCTAAATTCCGAAGAAGGAGAAGAGCTTGCTCGCAAGATAGAAAAATGTGATTGTGATATACCAAGTTGCCAAGCGACGAAATGCATCACCTTCTCCTCGACTCGAGTTAATCCACAAAGCGAAAGAAAGAAACTTGCTAAACAAATCGCTCCCTTGACAAGACCGCGCAAATGATTGGCTTGAAAACCTACCTTGCAAGAGGACGAAATGCAGAAAAGCACATGTATATATCCCTCCCAATTAGGAAAATCCTTACATTGTGGCGTAACAATAACAAAAACGCGAACGAACACCCTCTCGTCATCAGCAACGGGCACCCAACCACCCCCCACCCCCCTCATTCGCCGCCACGTTGATTATTGTCATCTGTGAACAATGAGCAAGAAAAAATTACAGACAGCGCAGCTGCAGAGCGATATATGCCACAAGGACGCAAGGAAAAGCAGAGGAAGGGGAAGTCAACTGCAGAAGGCGGCGAAAAAGAGAACGAACGGGAGGGGACAGGGGGGGGGGGGGGGGGGGGGGGAGGAGAAGGCGGGGAGAGAGAGAGTGTGAAATTGTGCAAGTCTGAAATCATACCTACGCTCTGTACCAAACCACCGCCGACATCTACACACTTGCAGCATTTGCACCGTTCAAAGAAATCCACTTTCTGGTCCGCACGCACAAGTCATTCGTCACTTGAATTTCGTAAGGGGGTAAAAAACATCAACTGATGATGTAACGTCAACAGATCATCGGACTTTCCTCTCCATCCTTTTCCGACTTTCGACAGTTTTGAAAACTATATACATGTCCCACCCACCTCCTTCCGTTCACTTCGTCACCACCACACGCATACACACACAGACACCCACGCTCTGTCGCTCTCTAATCCTCTCCCTCTCTCCTTCTCACTTACACACAGACGCACACAAACACGATCGCAACGAGGGAAACACACAGGTGTGACCGTTGTCCGTGCACGGGATTGCCAGCTGGGATAGCGTACAAATCATCAGCATCGTCATCATCATTCTCATCGTCAACCAACTCGCCATCATTCATCATGGAGACAATCATCACACACACACAATCTTTACAACATATCGTGATGCTCATTGTGGCCAATTACGAAGCACCGACGAGAGAAAACAATAGCCGCGGCGTATAGACGACAAGAGAGACGACGAAGACGTGAAGAAACCGACTGACTGGAATAGCTATAAGCGGGGCTTGACCCTGCGCCCATTGGCGTCCGTGCCGTCCGTCTGCGGATGGTAGATCGTGCGGCCCCGCGACGAAGACGTGCTGGTTGTCAGGTCGTCGACTCCGGCGAGCGTCCGGAGTAACTCTTCCTGTAGCGAAGGGCAGCTTTCTCTCAAGTGCTTGAAGCCATCCGATTGCATCACCGCTTTGAGGTTCGCTGCCACGTATTTGAGACATCGCGCCTTCAACTGCGGCGCGTGGTGTTGTTCCGCGAGCGCCAGAGTCGTGGCCACCGTATCCATGTGCACCTCCTCGCACAACTTGCTCTCGCACATCAGACGGAGACGATCGAGCCCGTACATGTCCGCCGCCGCTAGCAAATGCTGCGCCAGGATGACCGATGCCGAAGCGCCCGACGACGTAACAACCTCCGTCTGATCGGGAAATTGATCCGTGTAGATGAAATGCAAGAGAGCGCGAAAGACAGGAGGCTGAACATCGACAATGCGGAGCTTGCCAGTTTCCCGCAACGGGCCGTACAGCTGCGCTTTGAAGACGGGAGAGCGAGCGGCGAGAACGAGTTTGTGGGCGTGAATCAACTCGCCGTCGACGTCGAAGGTGACGTCGGCGGCCTCGCCGCTTTCTAGAAGCGCGCCGAAGTGCACGCCGAGCTGAGATTCAGGGACGTCGACGGTGAACGGCTTCGGACACTGAGGCTGCATCGACGAGACAACAACGCCAACCGTACAAGTGATGTTCAAGGTGTCGTTCTTGATGTAATCGGAAGACTCGAGCACTGCGCGCCGGAGAAACCGCTTGTAACCCCACATGCTTCCCCTATACTTCAACGTGTAAGGCCCGGCGTCCATCGGACGGTCGAAATGGCTGTGTACTTTGTGTTTGCCTTTGCCGCTCTGGTCAAGCAGAGTCAATTCGAAGAGAGCGCGCACATCGTTCCCGTCGCTGGCCAACGCAATGAAAACGGACACGTACTGCGAATTGTCCTCCACATTCTTCCCGTCGGGATAAAAATAGATAGCCCATTTGTACCCCCCAACCTCGAACGTGTCACTAGGTATGTACTTGCCCACTCCCATCCCCTTTGCCAACGAGTAGCCGTTTATAGTGAATTGATGCGATCCATTGACGGTGTGTGTAACGTTTCGCGACTTACTCGGCGTGCCACCTCCCCCCGCTAGCGAGTCGATTATTGCCATATCCCTTCTCTCTGTCCCTCTCTCTCTCTCTCTCTCTTTTCCTTCCAGCTGTGCTTAACCACGCTTCGGACCCAGGACGAACAATCGACCAACCAAATCTGTCGTGACCGCTCCTGCAACGTTTTCTCTACTTAGTATCCTCGCTCACCTCCCGCCTCCGCAGACCTTCAATCAGACAATCAAGACCTGCAACCTCCTGCCTTCCAATCCAAATATTGCCTCAACCCATCGATTCAATCCGGCACAAATTGCTTCTTTGATCAGCAGCGGAGACTGATTGATAGATTGATTCGTTGCTGCGATTCTTCGATCGGCTGCTTAGCGATCCAGTCCACCACTCACCATGCTCTTCTTAGCTGTCGTCACCGTCGGAATAGTCATTAAGTGATGCACTACAGAAGTCCGTTACAATGCCTAACAGTACTCGACGGCAAATCAATGCATCCCACTTTAAGCGGGAAAGAGCGTGGGGATGAAGGCGGCTCGTTATTGCATCATCATGCACTATACGTTATATATAGAACAAGCTGCTCCTCCCGTAGAAGGCGGAAGACGGCCCTTCGCCTGCATGACAAGTGTTGCTAGCTGAGACAGATATCTGCAACGGTTGGGATTAAAAACAGCAACAACGAAAGCGACGATGCATTGCAGGAGAAGGAACAACAGAAGGCACACAACTTTCGGCACGTCATCGATGTAGATAGCTCTCAGTCGGCAATTCAACAGAACAGCAGGAGGAGGAGGAGGAGGAAGAGGGAGAAAAAAGAAGAGCTTCCTCCCCCTTCTTTCCCCACCCTTTTTGCCGCCGAATTGCTATAGTGGTGTCTCCCCCCCCTGCCAACGTCCCGGACTCGACATGCGTCGTCGTAGGACTACGGGGAATTGGAATGGACCAACGAGATTGATGAAGAAGAAATTGGACACGAATAGAAATCGGTAATACCAGGAGTAACCGCAATGTGGCGCAGAAGGCGTGAGGAAAAGCGAGGACTACCGCGTGAAGAAAGCAGGAGGAAAGCGCGCGCGTAGGAGCACAAGAGGGTAACGGGCGGGGAGGATGGACGACTGCCCGAAGCGCGCGCAAAGATGGACGTGAACGAGCGAAGCGGGCGACTGAGGAAACAAGCGAAAACAGATGCACGTTCGAGGTTGGAAAGGGTGTACAAATACGGGCAAGATGATTGGGTGGAATTGCCAAGAGAGAGAGAGAGAGAGAGAGAGAGAGAGAGAGAGAGAGAGAGACAGAAGGGCGAATGTGGAGAAGAAAACACGAGATTCAGCACAGGCGGTCCAGCAGTTTCTCGACTAGATTGAGGACGTGGACGATTCCACTAGACAACCGATTACCCTTCATAAGTCTGACGAGTGAATGAACCAATCAATCAGCCAATCGTTCCAGCACGAATCAAGAAGAGCATCGAATCAGTCCGGACCGCGCTTCTGCTCATCAGCCCCCAAGAAGACGAACCCTTCCTCCGTTTCCTTCCTGCAACTCTTCGCTTATCCCCCTAGCTCTCAGCCAGTCTACCAGAACACAAAGCAAAGCAGATGAACTCTTCCAAGTCTCTTCAATAAACCCGCACACCGCTTTCCGTCAGGTTGCAGATTCAAACCCTCCGGTCGTCAAGCTCGTCTTCCCCTTTCCCTCTCGTGCCCTACTCGTAACACAGCCAAACATCCACCCTCGCGCACTCGCACCAACTCTGAACTCAGCATACACGCGGCACACCCTCGCACACACATACGCACTCACACTCCCGCGCCCGCACAGACGCACACGCACACGCACACGCACCCGCACGCACCC